ATTTCTTTAAGATTAAGATGTTATTTAAGCTGCCTATACTCTTTCTTTCTTCTTAAAAGAAATATTAAGTAAACATTAGAAATAAGTAAGAAAATAATACGAGAGCACAGAAAAAGTTTCAACTGTGGAGCCATACTGTAAAAACGAGGAGTACTATTAAGTGGTATTTAAAATTTTTAAAAAGCCAAGTACTTTTAGTGGATATATCAGTAAACAGATGAAAAACTACTTGTAAACTAACACCAGGGCACAGAAAGACGTAAGAGGCAACTAAGTGATTTTTAAAAGCATTCTGACACTAGTACTAAATAGGCTAATTTAAACTACAGAAATGCTGGCAGAAGATAAATTAAACTCTTCTTTGGAATTAAATTCTTAGTATCCTCTTATAACAACTTACTAGAAGAGAAGGAGGATAATTAATTATTTCAGGAATAACAATTATCTGTAATTGGTTCCCAAAAAGATGATATGGGAAGACTAAAAAGCTGACAATCATGTTTGCTTTCAAATTCTAAGAAGCACACGGAACAGAGATTTATTGGTAGGATAGGGAAAATAAGGGGGAAACCATCTCCAGACTAAAAGGCAAAACTGATGATGAGTTCAAATTGTAGCATATCTGTAATGTCAAGTTTCTTGAAGGCAGGTATTATACTTTTCAAATTCAGAAAATACAGTACTACGCCAAAAAAATAATAAATGTATTATCTGTTGAAATAACAGAATGAACTATTTTCTATAAAAGCCAAAAGTTCTCCCTCTGGGGTCAAGACTAGAACAGTAGTTTCTGTAGCTCTATTACATGAGCTAAACATGTAGGAGCTAAAAATGCATGTAACACCAACAAAAATTAACTTATGGGGGAAAATGCAAGCTATGCTTAAGAAAATAACCTAAAACGGACTATCTACAGCAGTTACCTTTCTATAGGAGTTAGCCAGCACTATATGAATCACTATCATAAAAAGAGTAAGGACCACTAATGAAATAGATTTACCATTACTACTACTCCCTGAGATCAAAGAGAAGGATTAGCTGGGCTTGAATAATAAGCAGCAGTTGCGATCTACTACTATCATGTCACTTTCACTACATTTCCAAAATTTGGAGGAAAAAAAGACCAGAACTGCAGCAACTTTCAATTTATACCATGTATGGGATGACAAAATATAAAAGTACCCAATTTTATTACAAGAAGACAGGTCACACAATAGTGGTCAAGCTAGTCCTAGTTGGTAAGAGTGGTGCCACTTATCCTTTCCTGCCACCGCTGTCTTTTATGCAACTTGAGCACAAGTGGGAGGAAACTGGTCCTCTAAGCTCTGGCTGGCCTATGACTTTATCTGCTTTTCCTCAGTATTCTGCAAAACAAGCCATTTAATACTACCAGTAGGTGCAACAACTGTGGAAAATACCTCCTCACTCTCCGGGTCTTCAAATTCTCAAAAGCCAATATTTGAAATACATCATTATACTTCAGAATTGCCACCATACTTGATCTAACTGTAGCTCCAGGGAACACATTCTGAAAAAGTACATTTTTCTTTCTGAAGTAAACCTCATTGGGCAGGGATATACGCTAAATAAAGTCCTAGTTCTCCTAAGTCATAGGTTGCACTTATTTACTGCATAAAGCATTTAAATATAACATTTATTGATTACCACTTAAAAAAAAATTCCCTTTTCAGCCGAAACTGTCTCTGGAGGACAATGACGTTCCAAAATTTATCTGCTGTTGTGAAATACTAGTTCCATTTCTTTCCCGCTGATGGAAATTCATGTCTCCAAAGAGCCAGTGAAGTTGGAAACAGTCTTTCTCTACCCCAGCCCCTCATTTTACAGATAAGTAATCTATAATCTGGACATTTATATGATTCTCTCTAAAATTAGACACCTGGCTAGCTTAAAAGGCAGTATCAGAATCTGAACCGTCTCCAAAACCCCTAACTAGTGCACTTAACCCAAATTCTCTGAGGAATCCTTAATCACTTTGTCATTTCTTCAAGTTCCCTCAATACCTTATCCCCCTAATAATCAAAGTGTCCATTCTATGGATCTATTTTTCCTCCATTATGGCATTTTAAGGTGAAGAGTCTAACTGAACAGTGATACAGGTACTGGTTCTTATATATATATTTTTTTTTTTTTAAAGATTTTATTTATTTATTTGAGAGAGCGAGAATGAGAGAGAGTACATGAGATGGGGAAGGGTCAGAGGGAGAAGCAGACTCCCCGCCGAGCAGGGAGCCCGATGCGGGACTCGATCCCGGGACTCCAGGATCATGACCTGAGCCGAAGGCAGTCGCTTAACCAACTGAGCCACCCAGGCGCCCTGGTTCTTATATTTTGAGGGAAGAATTTCTTCTCTCCTGCCAGTGAAAGATGAAAATTAAATCCTGAGTATTCATCAGTAAAATAACCTCACATCTTAATGTCATGTGTCAGACACCCACAAAAGCTTTAAAAAGTCCTTGGTGGCAACATTCTTACATGTTCCTGAATAACTTGGTTCAAGTCTGCATTCTAAAGTGGGTAGTAAAAAGGAAGACAGAAGTTCTTTTTCAACAACAGTTGTTCCATTATGACTTGATAACTACTTCCGTGGCAAATTTAACCTGAACATTTGAAGATTAGAAACATAGGTGATAAAGGCAAACAATATGAACTGTACAAGAGCAGGAACATTGTCTTGATTTCCATCTCCTGAAAAATGTAGACAGCCGCTGCAAATTTGTATCACAAACTTAGTCCTCTAAGATAACAAGATGTTTCTTAGTGGTTTTCTCCTGCTGTTCTCTGACTTAGAAATAGTTTTGTAGAGACTTTTAGACTTTTAAAAACTATTTAAGCTGGTATCTAAGTCTCTGTATCATATATTAACAAAAACAACCAATGATCCAGTAGGGCATGCATGACACCCATGGAAAAAAAAAAATAAAAAAAATAAAAAACAACTAATGAACCTGGATCTGGAAAAGAAGGATGATTTTATCTTCAAAAAGCAAAGGCCGGGGTGCCTGGGTGGCTCAGTTGGTTAAGAGACTGCCTTGGGCTCAGGTCATGATCCTGGAGTCCCGGGATCGAGTCCTGCATCGGGCTCCCTGCTCGGCGGGGAGCCTGCTTCTCCCTCTGACCCTCCCCCCTCTCATGTGCTCTCTCTCTCTCTCTCTCTCATTCTCTCTGGCTCAAATAAATAAATAAAATCTTTAAAAAAAAAAAAAAAGCAAAGGCTGTATAAACAGCAAAATAAGCCCAAAATAAATGTCTGAGGGCTTAATCATCAAATGAATAATTGATAAAGGAAAATTATTAAAGCAAATCACTTTTCAAACATGGTGCTTCTCTTTTAATGTTTATCTCACTCTGAATGCAGAACATCTGCTACAGTTATCAAAAGTATTCTGATTTAAACATATCATGTTAAGGGCTTCATATGTAAAGCCTTTAGCCCTTAATCCTTACAACACTGTAAGGTAGGTATCTATTATTATTTTCACACTGCACTAAGAAAACTAGGGCACTTAAAGATTAAGTAACTTGCCAAGGTTAAACAGCTCGAACCCAGCTCTGCAGGTTCTGAAACCTATGTTTTTTAGACACTCTACTCCTTGGTAGCACAGAAAATTTGAAAATATGGTCAAACTCTTAAGTTCTATCTGATGCATTATCCAAGCCACTATAAATTGTGTGTGTGGTGTGTTTGTTTGTTTGGGGTTTTTTTTTTGGTGTCAAGAAAGACTCAATAGTTTGCCATCTACACTTCCTCATTTTAGGTTGGGTTGTTGTCACAAACGTTTTTGTTCACCACATATATTGCCTAATCACTAGAACCCAAAAGGAGTAAGACTGGTTAAATTCTTAAACTTTATTTCCTGCTGGCCTAGAAGAACTTACTTAACCACTGTTACGTCTGTTAAGTATTAAGGTTTTCTTAATGTAGTGAAACACTAAAGTTATCACTTAAGTCTTAAAGGGAATCATCTATGTTATTAGTCATTTTACCTGTCAGTGAAGTTAAGAGCAGATCAACAGGATATAAACCTGGGTTGTTTCCTTCTTTAGGGGAAATTTCTTAATGACTTGTTAATTAAACCAAATGGAACAACTGGCCCTCCCAAAATGAAGTGTAGTGGAAAAGGAAACAGAGGAAAAGAAGAATCACAGTAAGTTACGTGGTGATCTACTTTCACTAGTGTTAGGAAAGCAAAGGATGAATCTCCTCTTGAGTAACTTCAGTCTGACCACAATGGCCACTTGTTACACCTACCACCCACTCCAACACTTCAGGTTCATTAGGAATTAAAAGAAACCCAGTAAAGTACACAACCCGACCAGGCCTAAGGTCTCCGTACCACACCCTCAGGAACACAGAGGGTCAGTGCATTGCGTCCCTCACCCCCAAGTCTTCGCTGCTACCCTGGAAGCAAAGCCCACAGCCTGGGGCCAAGACAGTCCTTCGGCCAGGGCACTGACCCAGCTCCAGACAACCCCGCCCCCTCCCCTGACCAAAGGATCTATGCCTAGAGGAATGGAGGTAGGGGCAAGGTGAGAAAGGCCTGTACAGGAGAGGAAGGGGCTAACAGGATGTTCTGAAACGAGGAAGGGTCCCTTCTCAGCCTCGCCGGGCTGGACGAGCTCCGGGCCGGGGAGAGAGCCGGCCGCCGCCATGATGGGGTTGGCCGAGCCGGGGGGGGCGTGACGCGGGCGGCCCTGGGCGCGGGGCCAGCTCCCCTTCCCCCTTCCTCCCCTCCCTGCGTGGCCTCGGCCACAACTGACCCCCCGATACTCACGCTTTGTCCACCAGCTCCCGCACCTTCCACATGTTCAACATCGTTTCCGCGCGGGCCGAGACGCCGCCTCCCTCCCCTATTCCCCTCGGACCCCGCGACACTTCCGCGCCGGGGCAGATCCAGGCCGGGATCGCCGCCGCCGCTGCCCGCCGCCACGAACTCCCCCAGTTAGGTCCTTCTCTGGCCACAGCCGAGGCGCCGCCGGTGACACGTCGAGACGCGGGGGCAGAGGCGCTGCGTGGAGCGGAAGTGCCCGACTTTCCGCCCGCTGCGCGCGCGGGGCACACCGGGACTTGTAGTTCTTTGCGCGCCTAGCGGACCAGTTAAACTGAGAGAGTTGGTGTGGTAAGTTTGTTACCATTTCTGTCAGATTTTCCCAGTTCTACGCACGCTTCCCCATGCCTCTGACCTTCGGAACCAGAAACTCTGGGTGATGGGGCCCAGCAATCTGTGCTTTAACGAATCCTCCGTGCCCAAGTATCAGAAGTACTAGTATAGGAGCTGGCTTCACTCAGACAAACTTTTCGAACGTAAAGTATTGCTTCTCCCCAGAAACAGTCCACAGCGTGCTAGGATTTTGAACCTTCAAATTGAAAGGATTTTCTTGTAAAATAAGTCTTGTTAAAGTACTACCCGAGAAAGTACAGAATAAATCATGTGGGAACAGTCCAGTAAAAAAGAGAAATAGAAAGTATTGCTATGTTATTAATAATGATTATACAGAAATGTTATTGCTATATGTATTTGCATTCCACATTGACAGAAGCATCACTGTGTTTGGTTCCAAATATATTTCTTTCTTAGGCCTGAATTTCCATACTGTAAATTGAAGAGGTTGTATTCTTAAACTTATTCCACTCTTATTCTATGAAACAGTGGTTTTATATTTAGACAGCTCTCTAATATCCTCCTTAGATACTTCAACGTAAAGCTCAGAAACTTAGTTCACACTCTATAGGAAACTAGAAAGACAACACTAGGACATGTCCAAGAACTTGGCAGGTTTATATTCTTAAGCATAGATATACACACACTGCATTCAGTGTTTTATTGTAATGTCTGCTGTCACTTCATTTTTCACTTACTCATTTTTAAGTTTGTTCATGTTAAAGCTGCAAGAAACCTTAAAATTCATTTGATCCAACTGCTTAAATTTTACAGTGCTTTTCATTCTGTAACTACTTAATGAGAATTTTCTGTGTGCCAGGAGTAGGGAATACAGCTGGGAAAAAGAACGACACGGCCTCAGCTCTCTAGGATCTTAAAGGTCTTTGGAGCAAATATAATAGTCAAGGAAACATTTAAGATAATTGCAGATAGATAGTGGTTGAAGAAAACAGAAGATAATGTTATAGAGAATGATGTTAGAGGAAAATAACATTAGGGAGTATTTAGGGCCTCTTTGAGGACACTATATTTAAGTTAAATCTTGAATGATGAAAAGGAGATGGCCATAAAAAAAAAAAAAGATCTGCAAGAAAAGAATATCTGGTGAAGAGGAAGACTGATTCACAAGGGAGAAGTGAGATTGATTGCTGCTAGTTGTGATGCCTGTTAACAATGATCCTAAATCAAGAACCCAGAACTTCTGACCCCCTAATTCCTCAGGTCAAGTCACCTTCACATTGCATCCACTTAATTACTGGAAGCATTTTTGAAAGTGTTTCAATACAGCTTTGGGATTAAGGCCTGAGAGAAGCAAGTTGAAAGAATTGCCAGAGAGAAAAGTATAAAAAGCAGAAATTGGGACAAAGCTCTCTCAAAGCTTTGTCAAGATAGGAGTGCTTGGGCAGACATAAAGTGAATTGGATTGGTGGGTGGGGAGAGGCAGGGAAAGATGAGAAGAGGTAGGTAGGGAAATGGGGCTTTCAAATGAGAAGTTTGTTTCCTGTAGAAAGGACTGTCCAGCCCGAGATTCAAAGGATGGACTGCGGCCAGAGGAGTTAAGAAAGAGAAACTACCGGGCGCCTGGGTGGCTCAGTTGGTTAAGCGACTGCCTTCGGCTCAGGTCATGATCCTGGAGTCCCAGGATCGAGTCCCACGTCAGGCTCCCTGCTCGGCAGGGAGTCTGCTTCTCCCTCTGACCCTCCTCCCTCTCATGCTCTCTGTCTCTCATTCTCTCTCTCTCTCTCAAATAAATAAATAAAATCTTAAAAAAAAAAAAAAAAAAAAAAAAAAACAAGAAAGAGAAACTACCTTGCATAAATAATAGCTCAGCAAGTTAACTTTCAAACAAGCAAGTCCAGGGTACACCTCAGAATGGGCCTGGCATAAAAATAACGACCTTCCCTGCCCTGGGCCTGTCTGTACATTCATAGCAATTCACAATCAGCATCAGCAGAATTACCTAGAGAGTACAATGTCACTATCTACTTTGCTTGTTTCAACACCAAGTTTGGAAGTGTCTAGACTTATTCCGGAGTTGTCACGCTGGGGCCTTCTAGAATGTAACACCAAAAAACCTGCCCGTGTACCTTTGATTCAAGAGAGTCCCTAATGGACTCAGAAGAACCAGACAAGGAGAGTTTGTTAAAAAGTGGTCTCCAAAGACTAACCATTTGCATGTCAACAAACTGTTCCATTTTTACCTTTTATCTTGCAAGTTTGGGAGGAGTTTCCATAGTAACTTCTTTGTGGCAATTTAAATGTGTCCATTGTAGAAAAATAAATGAGAAAATGTCCCAATCACCCCTCTTCAGGAAAACACATTTTTCACTAAATGAGCTGACACTTTGAGTAAGGCCAAACCAACACAAGGTTTGAAAGCAAATGTACTCAGATGTGTGAGGCGCTGTTGTAGACTCTGGCTGCGTATCTTCTGTGGTTGGTTCCCTGATGTTTCCATGGGAGGATTTAATTCATGGTACACAGGTGTGGCAACCATGGGGAGGCACAGCCCAAATCTCTCTTTAAGAGAACCAGTTACAAGGAATGTGAATGGCTGACAGCTTCCAGTAGCCACTCCTCAGGGATCCACCACAGCATTGACATCAAGTCCACGCTCTCACTCCTAGGCAGTGAGTGAGCATGTTGGAGCCAGGCCATTTCTCCTCAGTGCAAGACTTCTGTACTAGGCAAGCATTGCCCTGGGCTCCCCATCTGCCTCTCCCAGAATTCCTCTGAGTTTCCTTGCAATCAGGGTGTCTTCCTACCCAATCTTCCTCCCTTCTCTCTCCCTTAACAGGTGTCAGAACTTCCTTGGAGTCTGAGGCTGTCCCCACTTACTCTTGTTCCCTCTTCCCTTTATTCTTCATAGGTGTTTCCCCCAGTTAATCTCTTACACTTCTAATTCCATCTTGGCTTCTGCTTCCTGCAGTAACCAAATTGACAGGACAGGCAAACAGTTCTACCTTGGTTTCAGTATTTGGTCCAATGAGTCCTGTTTCTGATCACACCTGACTGTTCCTCTCTAGAAGTTGAGATACTTTTCTAATCATATTATAAGAGTTGCCACAAAAGCCATACAGATTATATATTCCACAACCCCAGGGGCACCATTTCTATGGACTACCATGAACTGCCAGATAATTAGCCACAGAAAGGAAGTATAAAGTAGTGGTTAAAAAGAATAGATTCTGGAGACAAACCTAGGCTCAAACTCTGCATCTGCTGTTCAGTGGCTTGGGCATTTGGGATAAGTTAGTTAAACCAGTATAACACAGTGATTATGAACTGGACTCCAGAGCCAGATTGCCTAGGTTTGAATCTTAATTTTACCACTTACTAGCTGTGTGACCTTGGGGGAATTATTTGACACCTCTGTGATTCAGTTTTCTCATCATAATGGGGAATAATAGAAACCTATCATAAAGGCTTTTTCAGACAATTAAAAAAAGGTAATGTTTAAAAAAAAATCTAGAACAGTACCATATGCAATTGTCAACAAGTATTTAGTAAAATCCTATTATGTCCCGGGCATTGTGCTAGGTGGTGGATATACAATTGTAGATAAAATCAGCAGAGTATACAGCAAATAGATGTAGTAGACATAATAAACTCAAAGCAAAATGCTGAGGAACAAATGAAATAACATATACAACTTACTTTACACTGCGTCCTACATGTAGGAAGTGCTCACTAAATTCTACCTCATTATTATCAACTTGCTTTTCTTATGTGGATCTCAGCTTTTTCCTTATAAACTGAAGGGTTGTTCTATCAGAGTACCCTAAACCTAGCCATACATCAGAAATTCCCAGACATCTTTAAAAATTTCAGGGTTTTTTCGTCCTGCCCCAGGAGTTCCTGATTCACTGTTGTATTATTTTCTATTTTTTTGGTCACAAGTGACAGAAACTCAAAACTAGCTTAAGCAGGACACAGGAAACTGGGGAGTTCAGAGATAAAATTTGCCTCAGGAACTTAGCAAATACTGTCAGAACTCTCTTTCTGATGCTCATTTTCCTTTATTGCAAATAGGTTTCTCCTAGCTGGCAGGAAATAGGGCTACCACTCTGTGGAGAATGGGTTCCATTTTTTCAATTAGGCAACCAAGGGGGAAGAGACACTTTTGTCTTTCATCCACCGAGTCTAATAACACAGGGAAGGACTCTGACTGGCCCAGTTTGGATCACGTACCTATCATGGGACCAATCCTCTAGAGAGGTGTATATTATAGAATTGGTAGACCTAGGAGAACCACACGGAGTGGGGGCAAAAAAAGAGTGCTCTGAAGAAAGCCATGCCTTGGCAGACAAAAACAACAGTTATTTACAACCATAGGTCTAAGACATCTTTATTTTTAAAAAAATTTCTTAAATGATTTTGCCAGGGTTTGAGATGCCCTGAATTAGATGACACCACATCGTTTCTAAGTCTGACACCTTTTTTTTCTCTTTTTTTTTAATGTCTAAATTACACAAAGTTGAGTTGGGGAACAGCAAAAGAGAAAAAAAATACCACGGGCAATAATAGGAGAAAGAAGCAATGAAGAAAGAAGGGGTTAAGCAGATTGCAGCACTGTGTATCAGGTAAGCTGGTAGCAGGACACACCCTTGCTAACTCTCTGTTCTGCTCATAGCTGGGCTCTTCTTGCCTGAAATTCTGTCTCCTTTCAGGGCCGTCAGCAGGGCTCAGGTAGGCCTATTCAGAAAGCCTGGTAGGTGCTCCAAAGGGCTAACATATTTGCAGTCTTTCTGCAAGAACGTGCAGGTACTGGCAGGAGGTGTGATGGAGGTAGAAGTGCTCTTGGAATCACTTCCCTCCCCCCTGGGATTCTCTGTCTCTCTCTGTCTCTTGACCAGAGGTGAGCCCAGAATGGATGTACTGTTCTAGTGTCTAGGTCTCTGACAACTCTATGCACAGGAAGCCAAGGTATAGTCATTGAAGCAATGAAGCAGCTTGCGACTGTGGGAACTGATCCTGCATTGTCAAGTCACATTCAGGAGTGAGCGGTGTGGATATCAGAAAGGTTGTGCTGGCGGGTTTCTGAGGCAGAGTCTTTCTGGATAAGGTCAAGTGTCTTGGGAAGGTCCACAGGTGTCCAGAATTCACACAGAGGCTCTGCTGGTCCTTGAACTTCATCAGTTCATCAAAAGAATTGTGCTCTAGAGGAAGAGCTCACTGCAATAGACATCAAAGGAGTATGATGGACAGACCACTGCTTTTTTTTTTTTAAGATTTTATTTATTTATTTGTTTGTTTATTTATTTATTTATTTGTTTGTTTGTTTATTTATTTATTTATTTGAGAGAGGGAGAGGGAGCACACATGCATGCGAGCACAAGTAGGGGGAGGGGCAGAAAGGGAGGGAGAAGAACAAGGAAACGTCACTCTGAGCGTGGAGCCCTACATGGGGCTCAACCCCAGGGCCCCGAGATCATGACCTGAGCCAAAAACAGGAGTTGAACACTCAACTGACTGAGCCATCCAGGAGCCCTGACCACTGCTTTTTAATAAGCAAAATGAATGTGGCTATAAACTTGGGGGATCTGTTAGAACAAGGCATGTTTTCCTGGTGAGAAAGAGTCAGCATTCAACATTTGTTGGCCACCTGAGATGTGCAGTGGGGTTAAACAGATGACTAAAACCTGTTGTTACCCATACACCTTCTAGTCTAACATGGAAGATAGACATATAAACAAACAAAAACCATAGCAAGATATTTAAGGAGGCAGTATAATGTGGGGTAGAGGTCAGAGCACTGGCTGTGATATCAGCAGGATCTTGGTTCACATCATGTAGCTCTGGGACCTTGGCTAAATTACTTGACTTCTCAGGTCTTGGCTCCCTCATTGGGAAAATGGGGCTGATATGAGCCCCTGACTCATAGCACTTTTGTGAGGAATGTATGAGATGACACACTAAATTGCTTGACATGTAACAAGGACTCATTAAATAAGATCTATTATCATTGTTAAACTGTTTATATCCACAGATCATGGGTGATGTGACAGAGGGTGTTAGAACAGGTTCATTGAATCTTTCAATAAACTTATATTTGGACACTTGCCCCATTGCCAAGAATTATACTGTGATAAACAGACACAATCCTATTCTCGTGAATTTTGCAGTCTGAGGGAGGAGGTGGGTATAGAGCAAATAAACCTTCTCCAAATCTATCATTTCAAACTATGATGAAAGCTACAAGAAGAAAAGAATGGGCTACTATGAGACAATGTGGCAGTGGTATTTCATTCATATTTCATTCCCAAGAAAGTCCTCTCTGGAAAGTGACATTTAAGGTGAAGGTGGAAAGATAATTCTGAGTTAATGAGGTAGAGAGAGGAAGAGTATTCCAGATAGAAAGAACAGTGTGCACCAAGGCCCAAGGTAGGATAGAGCTTGGTATGTTCCAGGACATGAAAGAAGGCCCAGTGAGACTGGACGGTGATGGGAAGAATGATCAGAGATGAGCAGGGGAGGTGAGCAAGGACATACTACTTCTTTGCCTGCTCAATCCATTCTCCATCCTGCTCTGCCTTGTTGTGTGCCTCCTGACCTACCTCTGTGGACTCCATTACCTACATTCTCATGGCTTCTGGCTTCCAGTTGGGTTCCACCAGTGTTGTGAGGGTGGATCAGAAAATGGTGGAGAGATTGGTCCTGATACTTCTTTCTTTTTCCTTCTTGCTTCAGCAGCATGGTTCTGGGTGTAGCCTAGTCCCTCTTTGGCCACTGTAGGTGTCACTGGGAGACTTGTATGTCAGGTTAAGGACCTGGTCTTTTATATTTTTATTTGAAGTGCAGTGAGAAGCTACAAACATGCTATAGTTACTTTCTCATCACATCACTCTGTTACAGTTACAACCCATTTCTCATCTCCTCTTAGCAGGAAGGCTGTCTTCTTCACAAACACACTCCTCTTCATTACTTCTCAAGCCACAGTTAACCAATTCTTCCTTCTCAAAAATCCCTGCTCTCTTAGCTTTCAAGATCCCACAGTCTTCTTGTCTTTTCTATATTTCAGGCTCATCAGAAATCTTTTGTTCCTCTCCCCAGCTTGTAGATGGTGAGGGGCTCTCTAGAACTTACTTCTCTCTTTCTCCACTGCCAGTGTCAGCCATAATCATCTCTCATATGAGCTAAATGTTTCCTAATTTGTTCCTCCATGATCTTTTCAAATCATAAATTGAATGTTTATGTTACTATTTGCACAAAATACTTCAATGGCTTTTCATGGCATTTAGAATCTAAACTTAACCTATCAGAGGTTCATCCCTGGTCCAAACTGCTATTATCCTGGAGGAAGTCTGATACTTTCACCCTCATGTGGGTTACAACTCAAGGTCAGTTCTGGGAAAAAAGGGTGGTGGTGGCCATGGGCCCAGCAAGTACCCCTAAAGTCTGTCATTGGCAGCGTGGCAGTACTTTTTTTTAACATTTAAAAATATATGTATATTCTAGCCAGTGCTTCCCAAGGATAGGTCTTTGTGGTATTGAGTGGATTATTGTAGCATCTTGGACTTTCCGTTTAGATCTGGAAGTTACTATGGTTTGGTTCACAGTTTGTTTATAAACCCTTCCTTGAGGTGAGGTTACTTCTACTCTTATTCTTGATGTGTTGATTTGACTAGTTTCAGAACATACTCTTTTCTTTTTCTTCTTTTTAATGCTAAAAATATCTATTCTGCTGACACCTCATTATAGAAAAGAAGTGTCGTGAGTGGTCTCCAACTGTGGAAGCTGATTTCCTGTGTGTTAGCAGTTTTTATGGTTTATGGTGAGTGGTATCTAAACACAGTTCTTATTGGACAGGTATAACATTAGAATTTCCCCATCTTTGATAATGCACCCTGAAGAGTGGTGGAGCACTGACCTGGCCTGGGAAGCCTAAGACCTGACAGACCCAAACACCTACTGTGAGGGGAGGGAGTGGAAAAAAGATAGCAAGTATTATTATCTTTTTAAGATACAGAATCACTGGGGCGCCTGGGTGGCTCATTTGGTTAAACATCTGCCTTCAGCTCAGGTCATGATCCCAGGGTCCTGGGATCAAGTCCTCTATCGTCCACCCTGCTCAGTGTGGAGTTGGCTTCTCCCTCTGTCTCCTCTACCCCCACCCCCCCGGCTTGTACTCTCTTCTCTTACTCACTCTCTTTCTCTAATAAATAAATAAAATCTTAAAAAAAAAAGGATACAGATTCATTTTCTTTCTTCCAATTTTTTTCTTTGAAATTTTTTATTAGTTTTTTTAAAATACAAAAGTAAAATATGGGGCACCTGGGTGGCTCAGTTGGTTAAACGATTGCCTTCGGCTCAGGTAATGATCCTGGAGTCCCTGGATCAAGTCCCGCATTGGGCTCTCTGCTCGGCAGGGAGCCTGCTTCTCCCTCTGACCCTCCCCCCTCTCATGTGCTCTCTCTCTCTCTCTCTCATTCTCTCTGTCTCAAATAAATAAATAAAATCTTTAAAAAAAAAAAAAAGAAGTAAAATATGTTCATACATCCTCATGTATCTATCCCTCGACCTAGCAATTCAACTCCTAAGTAATTATCCAAGAGAAATGGAAATTATGTCAAAATTCTCATATAGAAATGTTCATAGCTGCTTTATTCACAATAACCAAACTCTAGAAACAATCCAAGTGCCCCTTGATAGGATATGGACAAACAAGTTGTGATGCATCATTTGAATGGAACAAAATTTAGTGATAGAAGGGAATGAACTGTGAATGTATACAGCAACCTGGACAAATCTCACAGACATGATAGCAAATGAAAGAAGCCAGACACAAAAAGTTATGACTCCATTTATATAAAATTCTAGAACAGGAAGAATTAATCAAAGGTGAAATAAATGAGAGCTATTGTTGTTTGAGGTGGAAGGAGGGGTGGGACCAGGAGAATTAAAAATAAAATTATAAGCACTCATTTCAACAAGTGAAACAATCCAAAAATGTATAAGGAAAAGTTAATCCTTTCCCATTTAGTTTCACCCCATGATGCTAATCCTGTTAAAAGCTTGATATGTACTTTTTCACACTCTCTCCATGTTTATAAATACAAACAGAAATACATGTGCATGTGCAGGTTTTGCTTTAGGATCATGCTATACACGGTGCTTGCTTTTTAAAATACCTACTTGAGGGGTGCCTGAGTGGCTCAGTAAGTTGGGCATCCAACTCCTGGTTTCCACTCAGGTCATGATCTTGGGGTCATGGGATTGAGCCCCATGTCGGGCTCTGCACTCAGCGGAGTGATGGAGAGTCTGCTTGAGATTCTCTCTCCCCCTCCTCCCCTCTCCCTGCTCTCTCTCTCTCAAATAAATAAATCTTTAAAAAAATAAAGTAAAATAAAATACTTGCTTGATAATACATCATAGATATCCCTCCAGCTCAAAAAATATAGATGTAACTCATTCTTTTAAATACCGGCGTAATTCCTTAATATGAAGGCACCATAATTTATTGAGTCATTTGCTTAGTGATGCGTAGTTAGGTTGTTTCTATTTTTTGTTTTTGCCACTGTAAACAATGTTATAATAAAGTATATCTTTGTACATCTATCTTTACATATGGTGTTTAGATCTC